TATTTGCCTTTCTTAAGAGCACTATTGAGGAAAACGTAATGAGTCTAACATTTTAAAGTACATATAGTAAAGTTCTATTTTTAATTTAAATAATAAACATTTTAAAACGTAATCATTATTTATTAAGCTATTTTCCACTTTTTGGTTAAAGTATATTTTTTATACATGCTTAAAACATTAAATGAAATTAACATAGAGGTTTTTGGCAACTAGCAGCCGTTCATGATAATAATGACGACTCGTGACAATTCCTTGCGAAAAATTTGCCCAAATTTTAAAATGTTTTGAGAAGATGACATATATTCGGTAGTGAGTCGCAAGAAATTTCCGTTTACATTTTGAATTTGTGACTCAAAGCGAGAGATGTTTGTCGAGCAAGCAGTCCTTACACCATGTTATTTTGCAAATCTATATTAATTTTGCATGTTGTTATTATAGTATATTCGGATTATGTGCATAGTGAAATGGCACCCGTCACGAGAACCACTTGCAGGTGATCCTGTTATCGGAGAAAAGGTCACTTAGTTCTCTTGTAATCCATTTCCGTGGTTGGCGTTGTTCAATTACTCGGCAACAATCCCAAGTCACGCACTGAATAACTTGAACAGAACACTGAATATTCACTCAAACATATAAACTATTTAGATCTAGAAAATAAAAGCGCGAGCTATTTGTTAGCCACTGCGCGACTTAGATGTTACCCGCATTTAACGTAACGTTTGAATTTTTAGTTGGGGTTTACCACCTTTATGCTGCAAGCTGTAGACGTTTGATTTTGCAATATTAATTCAATAAATTTTGTGTTATTAATTATTCTTTATGATTTTTATGTTCAGGGCCGGTGCCAGCCTGTAATGCAGAAATGGTGCCTTTGAGAAATTTTTAATTTTCTCTTTCCTTGTTTCGCAAGAGATTTTAGGGGGAGGGGAGGATTCCAGCAACAATTCCTACTTGCAAAACAATCTGTTATTTAAAATTTTGCGGGATTTCTTTTGAATATCTAATTCGACATAGGTGTAATTTCTATGCGCTAGCCATGCAAGATTTACAACTTAGAGGGGTGAGGAGATAATATTTAATTTAGTTTGATCATTCGTAGGTGGCAGCACCGATAATAAAATAAAAAATATTTTAAACTAAATTACTAAGTTAGATATGTTAACTTATTGGATAAGCGAGCAACCAGTCGAGTTTTTTTTTTACTCCGTACAATGAAGTAAAAAGTCAAATATTAAGGCATTTATGGTTAAAACCGTCAATCAAAAGTGAATAATAACGAAAAATTAGAGAAATTCATCCTTACCCCTGCCGTCATAAGAGCTGGATAAGCCTGGAAATACGGAATAATAATATACATTGGCCATAAGAAGAGCGTAGTATGCATAATCAGAAAAGCTGAACCCACCGAATACAAGATGGCTGCCACAATATTCTGGACTATTTCCTAAAATTAAAAAAAAAAAAAAAAAGTACAGGAGTCGATAAAACAAGCTGAAGAAATTAAAAAAAAGTATAAATTAATACATAGTGATCCAGAGTAAGATGACTTTCGATAATATGCAAATCTTGGCTCTTATTTATAGCAATAAAATAAAGCTGAATGTACAGGGCGGTTATAATTAAAGTTCCACTTTGAAACGGTTGTAAAAGGAAAACTGCTGGACCAAATGTTACCAAGCTTGGTAATCATGTAAAGCCCATCATAAAATTAATTTAGCGCGGGAAAAAAAAAAATATTACTGGGGGGGGGAACGGTGCTGTATGCAATACTGTTAAACGATCTACTAAGACATGAAGACATCGGTTTAAAATATTGTTACGAATTTGGTATTTAAAAAAGCTAATGTTAGTTTCAATTATAAATTAAATGGTTTTATTTCTCGCGCAGTGCAGCGCGTGACGAATATTAAAAGAAAGCTAAGCCGAAAAATTGAAAATACAAGAGCGCGTGCATTAAATAAATAAATATCTCTTTTTGATTTCGAGAAAGTACTGGAAAATTCTAGCGCGTGATTTTTAAAATCTTATAAAAGGAGGAAAACATCTCAGTTCGTAGCAGTTGCTTAGTTTGTTGTTGTTTAGAAAATTGCTCTTGTTGATTGTAGCGAATTCGCGGATTAGCGTTCTTTAGCTGTTTTGAATTACGTTCTATTGGACATTTGAGTAGTTAAAAGATAACTACTGTGAGATATTGTAATACTGCATGATAATTTGAGAAAATTTAAGCATTTTTGTTGTGATAATAATAAATTTTTGTTCATTTTTCATCGGACTTGTGCATTCATTTCATAACGAACCCGTACGCACGCAACAATTTTTGGTGTCAGGAGTGGGGTTTGAATGCCAATAACAAGAGGAATGGAAGAACAATTGAGACAGCTCATTACTGCTTTTGCTGCGTTCCAAGAAAAGATGGAAGCTGGCCAAACATCTTTTAAAGAAGAAATTAAAGAGGAAATGAAATTGGGCCTGGAATCCGTTAAGGAAGAGATGAAATTCTTTAAAGATGAGATGAAAGCAGGTCAGGACAAAATGAAAAGAGAAATTACCTGCGTAATAGAAAATAAATTTGAGGCTATGGAAGGCAGAATAGACGCGGTCGAAATTAAAGTTGGACAAATTGAAGAAAACGTTTCTTCTGTGAAAGGGCAAATAGAAGACAGAGTTTTTCGGCCGTGGAACAACAATAGGTTACAGAGTTGATTCAGTCAAAGAAGAAATAGAAGGAAGAGTTTGTTCCGTTAAACAACAAATCGAACAACAAACTGATGAGAGAGTTTTTTTCTGCAGTTGCCAAAGAAATGGATACTTTAAAGAAATTCGTAGCGACGGCAGGGAGCAAGAGTGATGATTTTAAATTCTTACCGATGCTTGCTCGTCCATCTCTGAAGCTATCCACATATGATGGGAAGACATCCTGGGAAGTGTATAAGACCCAGTTTTCTATCGTTGCGGATGCGAATGGATGGGATTCCCAAGCTAAGGCCTGTTATCTCGTAGCTTCTCTGAGAGCAGACGCAGCGGATATCCTGAAGACGCTTCCCGAAAACCAGAGACTAGACTTTGAAGCTCTATCCGGCGCATTGGAGCTGCGCTTTGGTGAAAAGTGTTTGAAAGACTACAGCAGGCTTCAACTAAAATCCCGTCAGCAGAAGCCCACCGAAACGCTTCAGGAGCTCGCCACGGATGTTGAAAGGCTGTCACATCACGCCTTTTCGGAGTGCCCGACAGAAACAAGAGAAATCCTGTCGCTGCAATATTTCATCGACGGCATCCGGGATCCTGAAATACAGAAAGCTCTTCGAATGGCAGATGTAAAGGACATAAAAAGCGCTCTGTTGTACGCCATGAAGTTCGAGGGAGCCCAGCAAGCAACTAGTACAGATCGCTACCCAGTTAGAGCTGTGCGAGTCCATGAGCCAGTGGATCAACTGATGGCTCGTTTAGATGATTTAGCCAGACAAGTCGACGCTTTGATACGGAGTAGGAGCGAGAAGAAAGTGGCTCTAAGGTGTTGGAGATGTGGTAGTGAAGGTCACCTAAGACGGAATTGCAGAACGCCCCAGGGTACGGAATATAAAGCATGTGATTTTACCAGACAAGTCAGTGGCTTGAGACGGAACAGAAGTGAAAAGAAACTAGTTCTAAAGTGCTGGAACTGCGGAGTTGAAGGCCACATACGAAGAAACTGCAAAACACCCCGAGGTACAGAAAATAAGACCATTTCCAAGTAACGACGCAGTAACAAATTAGTGACCATATCGAGGAACGGAGGTTGCCAGATAATGAAAAACCTTGTTTTAAAGCGCTTAAAATTTATACAGTGAGTGGCAACAGTAACGGACTGTCCATTAATGGGAATATCGATGGAGTTTCTTGCAATATGATCATTGACATAGGAGCTAATGTTACCATCATTAGGAAAGATTTAGCTGAACAGTTTAAAGATAAACTTATTTGGACGCCATCCTGTGTTACCCTTCAGACTGCGTCTGGTGATAAGATCGACATAACTGGGAAGTTAAACGTAAGCATCACGTTTGGAAGTGCCGCCTACCATCACACGGCATATGTGGCGGATATCACAGATCCATGCATACTCGGATTGGACTTTTTAAGGAAATACAATTTTTTCCTTAGACTTGAAAAACAACAAACTGCTTTCAGCATCTGATGGCATGACTATCCATCCTCAAAAAGGATCCTCGCCTGGAAATGCCGACGCCTTGTCCGAAAGATCCAGCTCGGGAAGCTGCCGAAATCATACTAGGGTCGAAAAGAAACGCAAGACTCTTCTCCAGCCCAGATGCTCTTCGGTCGAGACCTTCGTCTGCCTTGTGACCGCCGTACGGATGCGTCTTCATCGCCTGAGGAACACATCCAAGATGTCCAGGCCGTTTTGAAGTGATGCCCCGTTTCGCACTAAAGCGATAGAACTTGGCGACGGATCAAGTGAAGACCAGATACAACACAAGAGCTACTGGACATAGATCCAACAAAGGAGACAAGGTGAGGTTGTGGAACCCGATTCAACGAAAAGGACTCAGTCCTAAACTACAGTCACCTTCGGATGGTCCATGTACAGTGCGGAACAGACTGAATGACGTCTCCGTAAGTCTTCGAACTCTAAACCTAAAGTCGGTCATTACGACAGGTTAGCTCATTACTATCGCCATAGTATGTAATGTAAATAATTGTAAATAGTATAAGACCATGGTCCTTTTTGTTTTTAAATGTGTATTTGATTTGATTTGCATTTAGTATCTGATATTTGTATTTGACAGCATTTGATTTGTTTTATTTATTGCATTTATTGTTCATGTTGTTTATTACTGTAATGTAATGCTTATTAATGCATTTACGCCACAGTTGTAAGTTTGGCTTCCTGTCCAGGGATTGTACTGCCCGGGACGTGCAGTCCTTGGGAAGGGGGCAGTGTTACGAATTTGGTATTTAAAAAAGCTAATGTTAGTTTCAATTATAAATTAAATGGTTTTATTTCTCGCGCAGTGCAGCGCGTGACGAATATTAAAAGAAAGCTAAGCCGAAAAATTGAAAATACAAGAGCGCGTGCATTAAATAAATAAATATCTCTTTTTGATTTCGAGAAAGTACTGGAAAATTCTAGCGCGTGATTTTTAAAATCTTATAAAAGGAGGAAAACATCTCAGTTCGTAGCAGTTGCTTAGTTTGTTGTTGTTTAGAAAATTGCTCTTGTTGATTGTAGCGAATTCGCGGATTAGCGTTCTTTAGCTGTTTTGAATTACGTTCTATTGGACATTTGAGTAGTTAAAAGATAACTACTGTGAGATATTGTAATACTGCATGATAATTTGAGAAAATTTAAGCATTTTTGTTGTGATAATAATAAATTTTTGTTCATTTTTCATCGGACTTGTGCATTCATTTCATAACGAACCCGTACGCACGCAACAATATGTTTAATTGTTTCTGAAACATTTACAAAGCATGTTCATGTGGCGTCCATCATTTTCTGAAAGCAAGTTAGATCGTATTACTGCGTTTCTCAACAAAAGCTCTTAGTATATCAGGAGGAATCTTATGGACATGCCGGTGATCGCATCTTTCAATCCCGCCAATTTGCTTAGATTATCACCATAAACAGTGTTTTTGAGAGAACTCCATAGCCAAAAGTCACAGAGGTTGAGGTCTGGTGACCGGAGTGACCAAGAAGCGGGGAGGTGTCGGCCTATAATTCATTCATTCGTAAAATGTTGCCTAAATAACTGTGTGATACACGTACCAATGTGCGGTGGGGGCCCCGTCTTGCATAAAAAACATCGTGGTGTCTAAGGCTGTGTTCAGACGGCGGCGTAAAGGGCATAGAGGCTGACTGACTGACTGACTGGCAGGTTATTACCGGCAATGCAGTCCTGTGAACTGCGTATCCGGCTCTATCAAACTAGTCCCAATGGCGACATCACGATAAGTCTATCGTCACATACATACAGTAAATAGGAGGTGGCAAAAAGGGACCGGCATCATTCGGTCAGGAGAGCTAAGCATTATGGACAGAGGTGGAGATGTTGTCATATAATACAAACAAACTATTTTCATATATACACAAAATTATCAAGGGGGGAAGTTCGAGTTACAGACGTGGGCCGCGAATGGACGTAGGTCTTTATCCTCCATTAATATGACATAGTTGAAAGTCAGAAAAATATTCATGTGATTACACTTAAGTGCCTTATCATAAAAGTGCCTATTAAGTTTGCGTATGTGCTCCTCAAGTGTATCCAGACGCAAGTCATGGTGAGAGTTAAGTTACTGACATACATATGCGCGTTAGTAATAGTACGAAGCACTCTATTCTGTATTAGTTGCAGCCTTTTAATATCATTTTTACGTATCGTCGACCAAGCAGGCGATGCATATGTGATGACTGGCCTAATAGTAGTGAGGTAAATTAAACGCTTTCTTCTCAGGTCAAGACTTGAAAACTTCCCTAGAAGGGGCTTTAAGCTATTAATAACATGGAACGCCATTTTGCGAACATGTGTGATGTGGTCCTTCCAGGTAAGCTGTTCATTAAAGACTATACCAAGATAGGTGGCATTTCGAACTTTTGGGACAACTTCATTAAATAATGTAATATTCTCCTGCACAGGCGTCCTGGTGTGTTTTCGTCGCACTATGAGCAAGTTAGATTTTTGGGCGTTTATGGATATTCTCCAATTTGCGCACCAGTTCTCAATACTAGGCATGATGTTCTGCAGCTTACGAATAGCAAAATTTGCATTTGCGGACTTAACGGCCAAGGCCGTGTCGTCCGCGTAACATCCCAGGAAGAAATTACTATCTAGCTGCGACCTAGGAAAATCTGCTACATACAAAAGATACAAAATGGGACCTAAAATGGATCCTTGAGGGACCCCTGCATTTATTGGCCTGACGCTGGAGTGATCTTTTCCAATGGCCACCGTAAAAGTTCTATCTTGAATGAAAGACGCAATTAGCTGAATTAGCTCTCTCTCTATATTATAATGGATTAATTTGAAGATAACTATGGCGTTTCGGCTGCCCTGTTCCGAGTAATTTAATCTCACTACAGGTCGACTCTACCTTTGGGCACGTCGTGGAGGTTCAACCTCCACTATTACCCTCCAGTAGAGCCGCGCACCACCTGGATAAGACACCAGGCAGCACCGGTCGTCTAATGCTCCTGCCAGTCGCTCGGGCGAGCCCGTCGCAGCGGGACATTACCCAGCGACCCCGTGGGAAAACCCCCGGGTTACTAGCACCACGCCGCGCTAGGACGTGCCAGACTCCGAGGCCGGCCAATGAGTGACCTTTCCCAGAGCCTTCAGAACCACCAAGTTCATAAATTTTATACCCCCGTGGCCGAGACTGCCTAGGTACAGATCCTAGCCAGTAGCTTCGCAGAGTTCTCTACGTCGACCCCCGGGGGGGGGGAATTTGAAGATAAGTCCCTCATGCCAGACGCGGTCGAAAGCTTTCGCCACGTCTAGCATGAGGATTGCCACATTCTGTTTCTTATGAAGTGCGTCTCCGCAAAAACTCTGTAAGTCTTACTAACTGCTTTGTGGTGGATAACTTGCTTCGAAACCCGAACTGCTCCGGGGGAAGGACGTTCAGATAAGGCTTTAATCTGTTAAATATAACTCTTTCGTAAATCTTTCCAAAGCCTGGAAGCAAACTGATAGGCCTGTATCCATCAGGTTTTGTTTTATCTTTGCCGGGCTTTGGAAGAAGTATGACCTTCGCATGCTTCCATTTAACGGGAAAGTAACTTAACTTTAAACTTGCATTTATGATGCAAGTAAATATCGTGATGCAATTGACAGGCAGATTTCTAATAGCCGTGTTACTAATCATGTCATAGCCAGGTGCCTTTGGTCTCTTTAATTTCTTAATAATATCCTGGACCTCAGAGGGCGTAGTCATAAGGGCATAAAATACGGTAATATCAGTCACACTTGCGAGAACGGGGTGTAAGCCGTGGGCAATGAGAAAAGCTAAATTTGCGCATGCGTGGATGTGTCTACAACTTTCTCGCGCTGTTCTCCTGCTCGATTGATTTCCCGCTTTCGCTCTGCTTGTTTTGTGACAGCGAAATCTTCTGTAGAAAGCCCTTTCGTTTTAGCTTCGCTCTGATTGGTCGACGCTTATCCCAAACTCGGCGTAAAGTTGTAAACTTTGAACCCTATGCCACGAGCCCTAAACGAGATTTTGTGACGTTGCACAGACTGGTTGCCTTGGCAACGGAGCTCTGCTTTAACCATTATGCCCTTTACGTCCCCGTCTGAACGAAGCTTTAAATGCCACGTTGCTGCAATTCAGGTATCACGAAACGTCTTAACATTGAAGCTAAGCGAACTGCAGTCACGGTGCATGTAACAAGTCCAGCTGTCGACTGCTCTTCAAAGAAAAATGGTCTTAATTATGAAGCTGTCATACCACACCAAACGGTGACTTTAGGCGAATGCAATGGAACTCGTTAGATAACATGAGCGATCCATTTAACACAATCCATGGGTTAATAAGTAAACGATTTTTGGAATGCGCACACTTTTGCGAGTGATTTGTGATTTCACATTTTCTAATCTCTAATTTTTGGTTTTCACGGACGGATTTCTCCGTTACACGAATGGCGCACTCGACTTTCATCGCCTTTAAATGGTAGTTTTGTTTGGATAAATGTTTCTTAAGGGTGTACAACATGTTAAACCCGTGTGACAAGAGGCTAAGTTAGATTCTGACCCTTATTTCGTTTAACAATATTGAATACAGCGCCATTTCCTCCCTGGGGGTGAATTTCTTTACTTTTTTTTTAGCAGAAAATAAATTTTCATCACCTCTTTTACACGATCACCAAGTTTGATAACATTTGGTTCTATAGTTTTCCTTTTACGGCCATTTCAAAGTGGAACTTTAATTACAACGCCCCTGCATTTTGTGTAATTTATGGTTCGTGTAACAGAGTAATATTATTATTTTAGGTAGATTTATTTTTATTTATTTATGAACATTTTTTATGAGGAAGGAAAAATTTGTTTGTCGCTTTATGTAACGAAGCTAAAACTTATTAATTCACTTTAGACTACCTCAAATACAATTTTACTGCAAATTATATTTTTCTGATGTGAAAATAAGTGAGCTAAAAATTTTAATACCTGAGGTTGAAAACTCCGGTAAAGCAACTTGAGTTTCAGCAGACTTCTTTTCTTCACTGAGATATACATTCAGATATCCATTCGGTGGGCGTCGATAGCCCGAATTCGCGGGTCAGTAATGAGAAATCGCAGCAAGTGTGCGGAATTATCACATAAAGAGGAGACGAGGAAAGTTACTTTAACTTTTAACCAACGAAAATTAGACCTCTATAGTAAATAAATAACAGTTCAAAAGTTTGCAAACTTTAGTAATCTGGTAATGTTGGTGTATTTAATTATGGCAAAGCACATTAGGGCTAGCTGCCTAAGGGGAGAGATGCCTTCGTGGAGGACTTTCTAAAGGAAACTGGAACGTACGTTACACATGGGGAAAGCCACGAAAACACCCATGCAGCTAGCCCGTTCGCGGGATTCGAACCTCGGACCGAACTACCAGTGTTCAGCGACTTTACCGCTCGGCCGCTGGTGGGCCAGTAACCTGGTAAAATTTGGCCTTTAAATTTAACCTAATAAATTTGATTCAGCCCGCTTTCATATCTCGGTAAAACTCGACTGTCTATCAGTACCTACCTGCACTAAAATGTCACTATTGAAATGAATACCGAATAAAAGCTCAGTTTTTAAAACTGTGGAACGTATGTGTATTTTGCGCATCTGCTATTTCTTTGAGATGGGTAAATACCAGATATTAAAGAGATTTGTTCTTAAAAGCAAAATACGAAGTAGCCACAAAAATAGCCAAACTTTTTCATAAGTTCATAATTTGAAAATAATGGCAACATTACATTCTTACATATGTTAATTTTTTGGATTGGATTGTTTTTAATTATGGCAAAGCACACGAGGGCTATCTGCCTAAGCGGAGAGATGCCTTCGTGGAGGACTTTCTAAGGGAAACTGGCTCGTATACACGTTACACATGGGGAAAACTACGAAATCTCGGACCGAACCACCAATGTTCAGGTCCAGCGTCTTTACCGCTCGGCCGCTGATGGGCCCTTACATATGCTAAATTACTTGCATTTCGAAAACTGGGTACTCTTCCTGTATTTTTTGCTCTTCCTGTATTTCCTCTCCCTGTATTTTTTGCTCCACATAATTTGGTTACACGAAAATATCTGTGTCTGTGGCTCCTGTTTTTTAGTTTGGCTGCTATTTATTAAATTTACATGTGTCAGTGATATTATCTGATTGCTCAAAGATTTCAGCCAAAGAAAACTGCTATAGTTATCAGATTTTTATAACAGAATTTTATTTCCCCGCTGCTGATTGGGCAATCACATTCCATAAAGTTTCTAACCTAATTATTTAATAAACAGGGCCATTGCCAAACTATGGTTGAAAGTGGGACAACGCTTGTTTATATTAAACGAATAAACTACAAAAATTATAATTTTTAAGCACAATTAATGGGTTAACAAGTATCGGACTTTGTAAATATATCTGGTATTACGATTTCAACAATAGGCATCGCCTGATGTGGTGCTTGTTTCTCATTGGCAGATATTTTATCTAACGTTTGCTATTTGCTTAGATATCCTAAGCTTGGATTATCTTCCTCATAACATTTGTTTCGTTTCGTCTTTTCGTTTCCCTTTTCTCCCTCTTGAAAATTTCACCTGCTAGGAATTTAACGTCCTTTACATTATGAAACAAGTGGCGGCCTGAATAAACCTTGCATTACATCCAATAAATGCTCAGATACATGTCTCAACAGGCATTATTTACGGTATTTTACAAAACATACACATGGCGATAATACATTACATATAGCTAACTATAATAACATAACACACAACACAGCTCTTTGGTAAAGCATGTGATAACTATGCAATTGGTATAAAACACACTTTGCAAATTTTGGGGATTATGCTATAACCAAAGGCAAGATATTTATTTATTATTATTCCGCCTTCTTTACCCCTCAATGGGCACTACAGGTCAGTCATGTTATTCTGATCGTTGCTACAGCAACCTATTTTTGTTATTTATCTTTTCAACCTTATTAAAGGTAAACAGATTTAACAATAGTTATTACTTTTGTTGGGTGCTCAAACTTACAATTTTTGGGGAATGTTAGTATAAAATTAGCAAAAAGGGTTAGTTAGCTTAGAGATATTTACATATATACATGAGTTGAGGCTTAAAGCCAAGATATAAGGAATATTCCACTGCGCTGTATGGAACGCATTAAAATAACACTATATTCGGTACAATACTAAGACGGGAGATTGAATATTTTGCAAAATACTTACAAGAATTGTTGTCCTTATAACCCGGAATGTGTGCTCCGAGATTAGGTAACAGAAGAGGGTTACTGAAGCGAACAGCAAAGCTGCTGAAGAATTTACCAAGAAAAGTGGATAGGCCACTCCCAGTGTCAAGTACATGGGGCTTCCGTAAGTTATCATGAGTCCGACACATATACCGCCGAATAGCTACGAAGACAAATGTAATGAATAAGATAAATATAAAATATTTTAAGTAATTTATTATCAAGATATACAAAATTAAAGTTTCGAAATTTAATTTCTTTGACTGATTTTGTTCAGATTATTAAGGAATTCTGCAGACTAGAAAGCTGATGATAGAATAAATTAGTATTTTAATTTGTATAGATATTTTTACCAAAACTGGTTAGCATAAAATTGTTATTTTACATTATAAAGCATAATTTTACTAGGGCGACATTTCGTATACGATTGCTACGCATTTCTGTAAATTTTAAATGCAAATGACTTTTGCAAACAGCCTAATTAAAGAAGATTTAAAAAAATTTAAGATCGCGAGTCACAAACAAAAGAAACAAAGTTACGCTTTGCAGGATTGGCAGTATGTGAATGATGTTCTGAAGGTTTGGCATAAAATATTAGACTCGCAGGAAAATAATTAAGATAGAATAGCTTATATTTTTGTGATTTGTCAACATCGTCAAAATATCTGTCTCCTGTTTTTTTAGTTTGGCTGCTATTTATTAAATTTACATGTGTCAGAGATATTATTCTAGCTCAAAGATTTCAGTTAAGTGAAACTGCTATAGTTATCAGATTTTTATAACAAAATATTATTTCCCCGCTGCTGATTGGGCAATCGCATTCCATAAAGTTTCTGACCTAATTATCCAATAAACGGAGCCATTGCCAAACTATGGTTGGAAGTCGGACAACGCTTGTTTATATTAAACGAATAAACTACAAAAATTATAATTTTTAACAACAATCCATGGGTTAATAAGTATCGGACTTAGTAAATATATCTTTGTAAATATTTTTTTTTGAAGAACTTAGTTTTTATTTCAGAAAACGTTAAATTAAATTGAACAAAGTGCAGGAAGATGAAACCCCTCGCAGCACGGAATATTGAATAGAAGAAGAATGTTTTACTGCCGTTTGTATGAGAAAGTGAGCAAACAGTAACAATATCTGAAAAAATTACACTGCTGGCCATTAAAATTGCAGCACCAGAAAGGAATAATCTGACGAACGTCAAAATCACGTGAAAGGAAGAAGAGGTTGAGATATGCAACTGCAACGTATGCATAGACATGAGGATTTTTTGGAAGCGGGAGATGTGAAAAATGAGCAATGTCCTCGCCGGGATTCGAACTAAGGACCTCTCGAATGCGCGTCGAGCGTGATGACCACTACACCAGAAAAGGCGGTAGAAATATCTTATAAGTATTTCATCGCATTAGACGACACGGGAAGAAGAAACGACATCTGAAGCACTGCATAAAATACGAAGAAATGCTTACCAAAGAATGTCGGAATTCGATGGAGGCAGGATCGTTGCCTATCGAGAGTCCTCCATTGCCTATCATCGTTCCGTGATATCGCCCGTAACACTGATCGACATCCAACCACTGTCATGCGAATATGGAATCAGTGGTTTGTTGAGGGTCATACTGAACGGCACGCAAAATCTCAACGCACTCTCATGACTAACGCCCGAAAGGACTGATACGCAGTCGCATGGACCTCCGACCTAAGGTTCTACACCAATCAGAGTTATATGTCCATGCGACGGAAAAGAATCTACAATCCACCGCCAGCGGCATTCACTGAATCAATGATAGTAATATTACAATGCTAAATTGACAGTGTCATCTATACAATAATTGTAACATAATAATCCGTATGAAAATAAATATACGATCAATTAATAATTACATTGTCATGGATAGGATCTATGTTGTGGATAGTGGATCTTATATATTAACCAGTTTTTAAACCTATGTCTTCTTCAATACATCATAACTTCATGTTCTTATCAGTTACACACCTAATGATGTGTGCCCGTATTATTTTTGCAGTTATCCACAGAGTAAGCCAGTCACATCAGTTCAGGCAATTGATAGTTCCATAGCCGTCCGAAAGGACTGTCATATTGCGAGGTCAGCTCTGCAAAACCATACGACCACATCCCGGACAGGAAATGGGCAGATTTGCAACGCGCAGTATCCGCTTGTATGGTGCGTCGGCGTTTGCAGCAGCGTGTCGTATCAGCATGGCGACCTTTACTTCATCTTCCTTTGACAATGCAGCAAAGAGACAGCCGGCGACTCTGGTGCGCCGAACGACAAAGTTGGATACAGAAGTGGCACATTTTCATCTTTTCAGACTACTTGCGGTTCTGCGTGCAGTATTCAATGGCAGTATACGTATCTAGAGGCTCCGAGGAGAGCGCACGTCGCCTGCTTGCTTTGGATATCCGCATAGGGGCCCTGCACCTGCTGTGATGGTTTGGGCAGCCATTGGACACACGACACGCGCATCTCTGGTTCGGATCGACGGTAATTTTAACGCAGATCCGTACATTTCTGACGTCTTACGTCCATTGTTTGTGCCTTACCTTCGAGACCTTCCAAACGGATCTTCGAGATCTTCCAACAATTCCAGCAACATGTGCAAGACCACATGTTGCTCATCGTATTCTGACCTTCCTCGATATACAGGGTATTCGATTGCTGCCCTAGCCTAAACGGTCTCCAGATCTGTCACCCATTGAAAACATTTGGTCATGGGTTGTTAAATGACTAGCCTGCCACCCTTCTCCAGATAATACGGTAGATGAAGTGTGGCGAAGACTTGAAACAGCATAGAATGAGTTGCCCGTTTCTGTCATCGAAGCCCAGCTCGACTCCATGCCTAACCGGGTATAAGGGCCGTTTCAGCCTGCTAGGGGTGGCAACAGCTGTTTCTACGAATTTCGCCTTCCTGTAAACCCCCAAACTGTTTACAAATTTAATCATTTTGTCTTGATGCCATACTGTTTACGCACAATAAATATCTTTTTTTTTTTTTTTTTCATTTACTTTATGGTGTTGCAGTTTTAATGACCAGCAGTATATATAATAATAAAATGAGAAAATATCTATAGTAAGCTCAAACAATTAAATTTTAATTTCTAACGCTAGTATTCTATAATTAATCTATAATCGATCTAATATTCTACAATTTCAAGTTATAGAATTATTTATAATATGGTTCTGATACAATAGATATTACTATTTGATACTAATTGGGATATTTTAAATTTTACGTTCTTTGCCTAATGTCATTTTGTACTTTTTTAACATTTTTATTGAGAAAACCGTGAAGTAAGAAAAGCTTTTATATATCAAATAACTTTTAATAATATAAAAATAAAATCAAATTAATGATTAAATATAGACAAATAAAATAAATAACATATAAATTTATAATGCGTTGATAAACTTCAATATGTCATACAATAATGTAAAAACAAATAAAAATACATATATTAACACCGATTTAACATTGGTTGAATCTTCATAAGAAGTTCTACTACAGTACATTTAGAAAACTCAGAACAAATAAAATTTAATAAGAAAAATTTTGCTGAAAATCACTAAGGACTGAAGAATAAAGTTTCCAACAGTTTCAGTTTAATATGTTGTTGGGAAACATTTTTCTTGGTAAGACCCGATAGATTCGGTGATCTGTAGGGAGATCGGGAAATTTGATGAAACACTAGAAGAGTTCGCTACTGTGTCCGCTGACCACGAAAAGATCATTAGCATTGCTGATTTCCAGCAAAATAAAATTCAAAGTAAAGCTTCAATTACCCGAGCAAGCGATAATCGTAACGATTGCAGAGTTTTGTTCATCTCTTCTATCTGTCCGAATGATCAGATATTGCTTGGACTAATTTCGCGGAAGATCCCAGAAAAATTTGGAAATATCGTACTTAAGATAAGCAGTTTTTTTTTTTTTTGAAGTCTTCGGATTCCTTTTCTTCTAATATTCTATAATTTTATGCTTAGATCTCTAAGCCTTTTTCATAATTACTACTCTTGTCCCTATTTCTCTTCTAGCTAATTTTCTTTCATTCAGTGTATCACAGTTTTCTTGCATGTTTGATTTTGTTTCCATTAATTTTAGCGATGCATAATTGGGCGGCATTCATTTCGCTAACTACTTACCCTTAAATTTTTTTTTTCCTCATCACAGTTTTCATTCTTTCTTTCTTTTCTTTCCCCCCTTTTTTTTTCGTTGCTTAAAAAAGGTGTAAATTAAGGATGAAATAAAAGCTTTCAATAAGGTTTGAGCATGTTTGATTAGATCTGAGGGCTCCTAAGTAACACAGTGAGTTTAGTAGAGTACTTAATATAATAGATTATGTTTACTTAGCGTACTTGATTTGTTGGCCTATACTTGTGAGCTGTCGAGGATTTAACTTACAGCTGCTACTGACAACTCACACAGAAGTATTCATACCGAAAGTAGTAACTTTAATGAATTTGTATTGAACTATATTTATTAGATAATGGCAAAGCACGTAGCTATTTGCCTAAGGAATATCTTTGGGGAGGAATTTTAAGGGAAACAGGTTCGTATTCATCTTACGCATGGGTCAAACAATGAAAACTTCTGTTAATTTAAATGCCGATTAATTTTATACACTTGCATGTTTGCAAATACTATTTAAAAACTAATTTTATTCCCTCCTCTTAGCCACCTTTCGAAATAAAACTTTATGTTGCCATGCTCTTATCTTACACTCTAACTGACATAAAAAATCTTATTTTCTTTAATGTGAGAATTTACTACACTTAAAATCGATTTTAATTCTGTGTCTACCTTATTCTCAGGAAGTTATACTTCTTCGCTGAATTTCTGTTATCGGTAAACTGTTTGAAATATTTCTTAACGTACGTGATCTCATTTACTTTTTGTGATTTTAATTATTTATCATAACAGTGTAATAAATTACACGAACTTTCAAAAATTCGTGTGCACAAGAAGATCCTTCATGAAGTAATTATTTACGAATCAAAATTTAAACAGTTTATTACTTAATTCAAGTATGTGTTTTTAATAAAGTACAGCATATTTTTCTCATATAAGTACCTTTTTATTTCACTATTACATTGAAGCAAAAACTCCCGAAATTTACGGGAAGAAAATTACCCCTG